GAGAAGTTGAATTATATGAAGAAGACTGTGGCATCCGGATTGGAGGAAGACTTATTAACAATCTGTGATATGCAGATGATACAACCTTGCTTGCTGGAAGCAAAGAGGACTTGAAAAACTTATTGTTGAAGATCAAAGACTACATCCTTTAGTATGGATTGCACTTCAATGAAAACACACACAACTAGGTCAATAAATAACATCATGATTGACAAGAAAAGATGAAGTTGTCAAAGACAACTCATGAAAGCAGCAACCAAAAAATCAAAGAACAGGTTGCTTTGGGCAATTCTACTGGAAATGACCCCTTGAAAGTGTTAAAGAACAAAGATACCACTTTGAGGACTAAGGTGTGCCTGATCTGAGCCATGTGTCATAGATTTAATTGTGTTCCCCCAAAATATGTGTTGACTTGGCTGTACCAGGATTTTTAGTGATTTGACAGTTATGTAATGCTCCCCCATGATGTGATCTGATGTGTTAAACAAATAAAAGGATTAAGGGTGGGATGTTTTTGTTGTTAAGAGTCATTGAGTCAGTTCTGACTCATAACAACCCTATATAGGGTTTTCAAGGAGTTGCTGGTGGATATGAACAGCTAACCTTTCAGTTAGCAGTCCAGTGCGTATCCCACTGAAGGGTGGGATACACCATCCTCCCTGTGTGGTGCTGTAGAATCAGCACGCTACCGCAAGGTCGGTTGGAACTACAAGGTCGGTGGTTCCAACTCACTAGCCACTCCTTGGAAAGCCTATACAGGGTCACTATGAGTTGGAACCAACTTGACAGTGACAATGACAATGTTAACAATGACAACAACAATGCTCCTATCATGACCTTGATCCAATGTATGGGAGATTCCCAAGGGCATGGCATGCAATACTTTTTATCTTATAAGAGATAACAGATAAGCAGAGAATGAGGGACCTATTCTACCATCAAGAAAGAAGAACCAGGAGTGGATTGTGTCCTTTGGACTTAGGGTACCTGCGCTGTGAATCTACTGGACCCAGGGAACAATTGATGTTAAGACATGTGGAGATTTCCAAGGAATGCCAGGTCTACAGATGCTGAAAGGAGTCAAGGACCTTTTTCCACAGCTGGTGTTGTGGATTCAAACTTCAAGCCACCCCAAATTTCTGTTTGTTAAAACTAAACCCTCCTGGTATTCTGTTATATGACTAAGACACCATGGTATTTTCAGTTACCTCATATGCATGTGAAAGTTTGGAGAGTGAATAAGGAAGACTTCAAAAGAATCAATGCATTTAAATCATGGTGTTGGCAAAGCATATTGAATGCCATGGACTGCCAAAAAAGCAACAACAAAAAAAATCTGTCTTGGAAGAAGTATAACCAGAATGCTCCTCACAAGCCAGGATGGTGAGATTTAGCCTCTTTGGACATGTTATTAGGAAGCATGAGTCCTTGAAAAAGGACATTATGCTTGATAAAGTAGAACGTCAGCAAAAAAGAGGAAGACTCTCAATGACATGCGTTGGCACAGTGGCTGCAACAATGGGCTCAGACCTAACAATAATTGTGAGGATGACGCAGGACCAGACAGTGTTTCATTGTGTTGTGCACAGGGCCATTGTGAGTTGAAACTGACTTGACAGCAACTAAAGTGAGGCGGCACAGGAGGCACTCACTCATCTCTGCCAAGAAATTTGGAAGACAACTATCTGGCCGACTGATTGGAGAGATACATATTTGTGTCCATTCCAAAGAGAGGTGACCCAATGGAATGCGGAAATCATCGGACAATCTCTTTGATATCTCAAGGAGTGAAGTTTTGCTAAAGGTAATACGGAAACGGCTGCAAGCATACATTGACAGAGAACTTCCAGAGGTTCAAGCTGGATTCAAAAGAGGCCGTGGAACAAGAGATATTGCTGATGTCCGATGGATCTTGTCTAAAAGCAGAGAATACCAGAAAGATGTTTACCTATGCTTTATTGACTACGCAAAGGCTTTAGATTGTGTGGATCATGACAAGCTATGGACAACATTGTGAAGTATGAATATTCACTTAATTGTACTTCTGAGAAATCTGTACCTGGACCAAGAAGCATTTGTTCGAACAGAGCATGAGAACACTGAATGTTTTAAAATTGGGAAAGGTGTGTGACAAGGTTCTATTCTTTCACCTTACTTATTCAACCTGTATGCTGAGCAAATAATACGAGAAACTGGGTTCTATGAAGAAAAACGTGGCATCAGGATTGGAGGTAGACTCATTAACAACCTGCGATATGTCGACGATACAACCTTGCTTGATGAAAGTGAAGAGGACTTGAAACATTTACTGATGAAGATCAAAGAACACAGCCTTCGGATGGATTGCATCTCAATGTAAAGAAAA